ACTTCATTACTCAATAATTTAAGTTAAATGGAACAAACATATAGAAAATTGACTAAAGTTTGAATAGAACAAACACAAAAAATTGAACCAAGACACACCTTAGTAATGCATTGAACTCATCACTTGAAGAATATTGGTTCTCTTTATCAAAGGCTAACCTATGACCAACTACATCTGTATAAGATAAATAATCACCAAAAACTTGAACAAGCCTCCTTATTCTGTAATGAAAAATCCATGTACCAGTGTGTTATGCAATGAAAAATCATGAATTGATCAAAGAGCAACCAAATGTTCCCTAGCCCCCTACCTTGTGTGCCTCATAAAAAAGACTCTATCAATAGGCGAAGAAGATGATTCTCCCATATCAGCTTGATGACCTCTATAGTTAGTTAGTCGCTAGTGAGTTCGAACGCTAATTACTTGAGAAGACAACAAACTGACACAGTTCTCCACTAGTAAATGATATCAAGTAGTGATTTCACCAAAATGAAGAACACAAATAGATTGATTTCTCTGATACAAAGATAAATGCAAACTTGTATGTTGTGGGTGACAGACACAATTTTCTTCAAACAGAGGAATCAACTTACACAGCTCTCTACTAGTCCACGATATCAAGCAGTGATTTCACAAAAATGAAGAACATAAATAGATTGATTTCTTCGATACAAAGATAAATGTGAACCTGTATGCTACGGGTGATAGACACAATGTTGTTCAAATAGAGGAATCAGCAAGAAGACTAGAAATTATGGGTCTTATAAAGCTCATTCAAACAATAGAAACATGCCATCTGTAACATCCTAAGTTTCTTCATTAATAATTATCAGTGTTTTCGAAGGGATAATTTGGTTAATTTAGATAAATTATTAATTTAGCGAGGATTATGGGAGACTAATATGTTTTTTTATCCTTAGACAACCTTAGAAGAGGACTAAGTTGATGTTTAAGCGGGCCATGACACGAAAGGAAGTTTAAAAATTTTGTGGGATTTTCTGTGCCATGAACCGTGGCGTATGTGCAAAATCTGCACTTATCAGATCACGAATCAGACTCGAAAAACAAAAGAGAGAAAGAAGGAACTTGAGGGCAGTGACAAAGAGAGACTTATGGCTGCTAAGGCTTGCTTCCTACGTGATTTTGGAGGCCTTTCAAGCGTTATATACATTGGATAAGCCTTCCTTTCTTCTCTCTCTCCCTCTTTTATGCGAAAATCTAGATTGATGGGGCAATGGGGGCTTTGATTTCGGTTCCTTTGAGATTAGACCAAACCCATTGATTTATTTAAGGTCTTGGGGAGTTGAATCAAGCCTCTAACCCTAAGTTTATGAGTTTTGTGGTGGTTGAGAATTTTTGGTAAGGGTTTGGATGAACCTTAAGTATAATTTAAGAATTTTGAGATAATGTGGGACATTGGTTAGCAAATTTAATGTGTTAGGATATTTAATAGGATGGTTAGAATGTTTGGAAATGGTTAATGTTCTTACAAAAGGAATTTGGGTATTTTAGACATTTAGAACCTAGAGAATTTGAAGTTATCCAGAGTGATAATTGATGATTGTCACTTGATTGTGTAGATTGAGCATTGCTCGAGCTATATTGTGCGTATAGAGTGTGTGGAGCTTACATTGAACCACGGTAACCCTTTTGTATGTGATAAAGGGTTGAGGTAACGGAATGATTTATATTGATTGATTATATTGCTTAACTGTCTGTGAGTAGATATGTGAATTTGAACATGAGATTTGATAACCTTGCATATTGAGAAATGTGGTTTTGTACATGAAAACCTATTTTTTTTTGCAAATGATGAGTATGATGAAAGTTATGTATAAATAAGTTGAGAAATTGGAAATGTTCATGTGATATATATGTTGAGTGTAGGCATGATCATATTAGGGGGTAGGAGTTCACTCGTAGGAAAGAGTAGTAGAGGTCCATATGGCATGTATCTCCTTAGTGTCTAGTGAGGCACGGTGTTAGAGATTTTCTCCTTAGTATCCATGCGGGATATGGCGTTAGAGAATAACGCTCCTTGTCATCAATGATGCGGTGTTAGAGTAACGACACCTCAATTCGTGTACAATAGGGAGAAACCATAGTCCAAAAGTGAGATAGGACACCTTTAGCCGAGTGATCCTACCACTAAAGGTGAGCTTGGATCATTGTGAATGTGCACTTGGTCCAAGAGCCTATGGTTTCGGTCAGGGTGATATAGAGGCTCGGATGGTAGAATGATCATGTTAGTAGTAAAAGATTTGTATTGATGAAAAGAGTATGTGGTGATATGCTAAATATATATTTTAGAAGTTTCATAGTCTTACTCCCTTAAGGTTGTGCATGTTAATGAATAGTAGTGAATTATTCTGTTATTAAAATGTTCATCTCACCCCGTGGTTATATTTTATAGGTGAGGGCTCTAGTAGGGGCAAGGGAAAGGAAGGAGCAATTGAAGAGTGAAGAGCATTGTAGTATAGCTCTTACCTTTCTCTTTTGGGTTTGTAATGGATATTGTCATTATATATTGCCAACTTAGAAACATGACATTATTTTGGATATCACTTGTTTGAATTTGTAATAAGTGTGCGTATCTTGGTCCAAGATTGATATTGTGGATTAAGTGTATGTGTGCTTGGCCAAGTTATACTTATATGTGATATATATTTCAAGTGTTTTATGTGCCAAAATGACCAATTGATTTGTGCATTGAATTTTATCCGCCCCGTTGTGTTATTGTCAAATGGAGGTTTGGTGGTCATTTTAAATGTGATTATTTAATTGTGTGATATAAATGAATTATCTTGTTGTGTGTGGTCCATTTAAGGTGGTGAAAGTGTCTCTGGGGCTAATGGCATTTGGTATTGTGAGTTGGACACCCTTGATGTGTGTTTTGAAGTGAAAACGAACCATTTTGAGTTCAAGTGTCCATCTTTTAAACGGATGTTTATCTGAGTGTAAAATTGGTGCCATTAGCTAGAAGGCTTAAAGAGCCTCATGTGGACACTTGAATCACCTAAATCAGACGTCAGATGGCAAAACGGCCCACTCTGAAAGTTCAGAGGAATATTATGACAGCAATTTGCTGTCATGACAGTGAGTACACGCTGCGGTGCAAGAGACTTTTAAGGGACTTGTCCCTCTATGCCATCTGCCATGGCGGGCACGGGTTACGCCACGGTGGACGGAGTAGAATTTATAGAAAAATGGCTTTTTTAGCCTAATTTTGACGTGGTTTGTTGCCCATGCTTCCATATTTGCTCTTAATTAATTTTTAACCATGGTTTAACCTCAAATAATATTTTAAAAAAGGTTTTCTTAGGATCTCAATGTTTTAAACTAATTATCTTCAAACCCTTGAGTTATGGTAGCTTCGATAGGGAATTTTATTTAATCATAGTTACCACAATGATGTGTGAGTGTTGTCATGATAATGTCAAGGCGGACATTACACCATCAACTTTAAATGAATTATGACGTGAAGTAAGGAATGAACATTCTCAAATGCACTATGTAAAAAGGTGCAGAATATGAAAAATATTTTTTTCCAGCAGAAAGCATGGGAAAATATGGCAAAGGAAACAAAAAGAAATCTTATTGGACGCACAAATACGATCAGGCCCACTCACACGAGCAATAATCATCTAAATTTATTTATTTAATTAACATCTGCAATGTGAGACCCACGTGAATCTAGTGGACCTTTAAACTCTTTGTCAAAAGTTTCTTTTTTTTAAAAAAATGGACATGGTAAATTACTAGCCCGATACTGTAGTTCAACAGTTATAATTATTGTGGTTCAATAGTAATAAGTTGATAGACTTTACTAACATATATTGATATATTGATGATTTTCAAGAAAAAAAATAAAATTATAGAAAAAATTCAAAAAATTAAAAAGTTGAAAATATTAGGGATCGTTTGGAAAAACTACATTTTACATTCCAAAAGGACTTTTTACTTTTAAGATATGAAATGGTGTTTGGAGGAATTTTTTCTAGACAAAAGCACTTTGGAAAAGAACATTTGAAGATGCGCTAAATGTGGATTTCCTAAAGCTCCATCCAGTTGCTTTTCAAATGTGAATGTGGATCATCTGATTTTTTGTACTTATATTTGACCATGAAACCCTCCATTATTTTTTTCATTCTTTGTCGTGCACGAGCTCGTGTTCTGTCACTCCATCTCTTCTGGCTGAGAGCTCACTCATCTCTCTCATCTCGTCTGTCTCTCCACCATCTCTCCTCCTCGTCTCTTCCATCGTTTGGTCATAGATCGAACTTAAGTCCCTCCATTTCTTCCTTCCTCGACTTTGGTTTCTTGTTTCGTCGTCCTCTTGAGCTTCATCGCTCGCCATTCCAGAGAAGCACATCACAAAGCACTATTGCCGTCTACCTAAATTCAGGTGGCTATAGCAAATCCTCCACAACAAACCCATGCCACCAAGCTCTGATCGAGAGAAAGTGATGAAGAAGATGAGTGATTTTTGTACAAGATGATCTCCCTTCATCTGCAATTTCTTCTCTCTTTTTTTCTTTTTCCTTCATTTTTCAGTTCTCTGTTTCCTTCTTCTAATAAGTCAAAAACATAATTTAAAATAAAAATAAGCAAATTACCAAATTAGCCCTCTAATTTCTTGAAAACATAAAGTAATTAAAGTTAAATTAATCTAATACAATTGAATCAACTAAAGTCTTAAAAATAAGAATAAAAATTGCCCAAGTAATAAAATGTGCCAAAAAATTCAAATTCCAAATTAAAAACATTTAATTTTAATAAAATGTGTTAAATTATAAATTATTATAAATAAATGTCATTTTTGATCATTGTATATTTAAAAGTATATTTCAAAAACATAAATTTTTATTAATTTAAATAAATTTTAATTTATCAGATTTTTAAAAAAATATATTTAAATATAAATTTTGCTAGAATAATTGAGTTTCATTAAACTGAATTTTTGCAAACAGATAAACACACATAATAGGACCAGAAACGCTGGAAGTTCCGCGTTTAACCCACCTTATAGCGTCTTCAGAGCTCGGACGAGGTAGGGCTGCTGTGAGAAGGAAGGTGAACACCACTCCTTCAAGCAGGTGGGAGTTCGATCAGCAAAGCCCAGCGGAGCGAGAGGGAGAGGGAGCGAGAAGCAGAGGGCGAGGTTGCAAACGGAGAGGAACGGTCCCTTTATTATTAAGCTTATACGGGCCTCTATTTCGAATTTATTTTGTGGGTCACAACTCTTATATTTGGGAAAGTGAGAAGGTTGTTTGTTGACTTTCGGTGAGTTAGGGGAGAGGAAGCTGCCTTGATTCATAGAGGTAATCCTGCAATTTGCAACATTTTCTGTAACCCCTTACGTTCTAAACGTTGTTTGATTTTCTGGGTTCCTTGCTTTGTTGAGTGGTTGAAATATTTCATTTTCTTTTAGAAGCTCCTTTTTTATATCTTTCCCTTTTGCAGTTCAGTGTGTGGAAGATACTCCAGGTTGCTTATTCAAAGAATGTCTCATGCTTGCAATTTACATTTTTTTGCTCACTGTGTTGGACCCTGGCAAGGATATTGTTTTGGGTGCTTTGTTGATGGTTTATTGGTTTGACATTGTTAGATGATACTATCTTGAATGAGCATGGTGTTCGAGTTTATTGTTGATGCCGAACCTTGTTCAAGGTTGCTAGTTTGAATTGTGAATATGCTTCTGGTGTTCTTGAGAGTTGTGAGCGATCCGTAATGTGAGATGGTTTGTGCTTGGCGTTTTTTTTTTTTTTTTATGCCTTTCCTGCTTCATGTATTTACGAGAATAATTACGCTGTTTTGGAGTTTATTTTCAACTTTGAGTTTTAACCCGGTTTTGGGGTCTATCCTACTTTGTTATTTTGATCACACGGCACTTTCTGAAACCAATTATGTCAACTTGGATTTGTTTTGGTGATGAAACCATTGTTAATATGAGATTGCTGGTATTAAGCTGTAAAAGGTTTAAAGGTGCATTATATGTTTTCTCATGATTTAAATTGAGTTGGGCAGGTTACCAATGGTTTAGTTTTTCCAATGCGGCTGTGCTTTTGATTATTATTGCTTGACACTTCTTGGGCGATGATTTAAGAATGCATGGCCTGAAGCATTAAGTAGATGCATCTTGGGATTGATACATTTAGTGGGTTACGATAGTTTTATACATATGAAGGCCTGTATAAAATGCCTTTTTTCTTAAACAAAATCATATTCTTGGCGTTGGTAATCATTGTCGTATGTATCTATGTGTATATATAATACACACCACTTTTATTGGTTCAATCTTGTATAGCCTGAAATTGGTATTTGCTTGAATAAAACAATGGTTATGGTTTCATCCTTTTGGTGTTTATATAAACTCCCTTTGGTCCTTAATGTAATGCAAACTTTGAAAGCTTTTTTTGGTTCTTAATATAATGTAAAGTTGGAGTAATTAATATTTTCCCCCAATTTTACCCTTTATCATCATATGAATTCCTAGACAATAATTTATTATGGTTAAAAATATTTTTAAAAGCTTGGTAAATGATAGAATTTAATGGTGTCGTGCAATCCATGTAGCTAATCCCACCTGGGATAAGGGTGGTTGTTGTTGTATTAATTACAAAAAAGGGCAAAATTGGCAACTTACATATATATTTTTTTTAACAATTTTAAGATATAACTACCGTTTCTTAATAAGGGGGAAATTGGTTAAGTTTGTCTTATATTAAGGACTGAAAGGAGTATATAGGTACTTGATTTGTTTTAGAAGCTAATATTCCTTTTGTTTTTATGCCATTTGAGATAAATTATTTGGTGGATGAAAGCATGGTGGTTATAAGCAAATTCATGGGAAAGGCCCACTAGTTTTTCTTATTTTGTGATTAATTTTGCACTATTCATGCTTCATTTTGTTTTTGTTAATCAAGAGATTGCCATATTGTGTTTGGAATAATATGATAGTTTTGTTGGATCACAAGCACACAATCACAAACTGAGTCATAATCTTGGATATGTTAATTTACATGTTAGAATAAATGATATTCTAAACTTTAATTTGTGTACAGATAACTCCCTTGAGTTTTAATTATGTTGTGAAGATATTTTTCATGAATTTTGGGTCATATGCAACTTCTGTCATGTTTCTCTTAGTAAAATAATGGACTAACACCAAGACGTTACATGGATATCATGTTTTCGGTTGGTCCATTATCTAGTTTTAAAGGCTAGGGATTACTTATTATGTTTTAGGGGATTATCTGCATATGATGCAAAGTTTAGGGAGGTATTCTACATTCAAACCAAGTTTTTCATGGATTTATTTTCATATATTAAGGTTTTCTTATGCTGTTTCTCTATTCCTATCTTGGGTACCTGTCCTTTATGGCCTGCTCTGATCTGAATTTGTTTTTTTCTGTTGGGGTTCAGTGTACTTCTTATATAACTGCTGGAGTACTTGCTACTGCTTGACCTGTCGCTTTTCTCTCTTCATTTTGATTCTGAGGAAATCTGATTGAAAGTTGATTAAACAATCATGGGTTATGCTCAGCTTGTGATAGGTCCAGCTGGTAGTGGCAAGGTAATTTATATTATTCATTTCCTCTGTCCTGTTATTTGTTAAACAGGATAAGCCCTTTCCTCTGTATGCTATGTTTGTGTGTACTTAGGTCCTGATTAGTGTGTGCACTTTACCTTGTGTATTAGTCCACATATTGTTCAAGTTTGTACCAACATTGTGAAGCTGTACGTCGGACAATGCATGTTGTGAACTTGGACCCTGCTGCTGAAAATTTTGACTATCCTGTGGCAATGGGTAAATACAATGCGGGATGTGATTATTTCTTTTTTTGAGTTAACGATTATAGTTGCAAGAGTTTAACTTTACATTGGGATATTTGCAGATATAAGGGAACTCATTTCTTTGGATGATGTTATGGAGGAACTTGGGTTAGGGCCTAATGGTGGTCTTATGTACTGTATGGAGTATCCTTTTCTATGTCTATCAGCAAAATCCATGGTTTCTTATTTCTTTGTTGCTTTTTCCTGCTTAGTTCATTTGCTTATTTTTCATTTGGCAGAGTTCTTTACAGTCTTGCCTGAAGCAGGATTCTGCATATATTTTTATGACAGGTCACTGAGCTAGAGAATGTGATTATGAATTATCTCTATTGTTGTCTACTTGTATATTTATCCTTCTATATGTTCTTGTTAACTATTTTAAATATTATATTTGGCAATTTTGTGGCCTTAATAATCATATTTAGACACCTTGAAGAAAATCTGGATGAGTGGTTGACAGAAGAACTGGACAATTACTTAGATGATGATTACTTGGTTTTTGACTGCCCTGGTATTCACGCCATTGTCATTAACCTTTTGACATTTGACATATTACCATGATGATGTAGTTCACTAATTAAGGTAAATATAGTGTAATAATTTCACGAGAGTGAGATCAAAATAGGTAAGATACCACATCCAATGCATATGTCAAAATCAGGTTTTCTTGAACCAATCATATGTTTGGTGCGATGGCAAAACTAATGCATGTCCACTTTTTTTTTTCCTGTTCAAGATTTCTCTTTTCTATAGTTAAATTGTTTATAAAATGTTCAGGTTAAAAATGACTAGGAAAAAGGGTTACTTCAACACGTTCTTGAAATTGTAATGTTTTTCAGGTCAGATAGAGCTTTATTCACATGTGCCAGTGCTTCGGAATTTTGTTGAACATTTGAAGCGTAAAAATTTCAATGTTTGTGCAGTGTACTTGCTTGACTCACAGGTGTTATATTTTGTCCCTTTTTTTAAATACATGCTGTGTACTTTCTATCATGGTTTGCTTAACTTTATAATTTTCTATTTGATAGTTCATGACAGATGTCACCAAATTCATAAGTGGATGCATGGCTTGCCTTTCAGCAATGGTTCAATTGGAATTACCCCATGTTAATATTCTCTCTAAGATGGACCTTGTGACTGACAAAAAGGATATAGAAGAGTAAGTTCTGTTATTAAAGTTCGTTTATCAAATTTGTTCAGACCATCCTTATACATATAAATCCTAATATATTCTGTATCTGTATTATTTATAGATTTTTGGATCCAGAGCCCCACTTCTTGTTGTCTGAATTGAATCAACGGATGGCTCCTCAGTATGCGAAGCTGAATAAAGCTTTGATTGAATTGGTGGGTAAATTATGTTCTTAGAAAAATCTGTAATTTTTTCCCAATTATTAAATCCTATGTGCTTATGCTAAATATGTGTTGCAAGCCAGTCATTGCTCATGATCAGTGTTGTTGTCAACTGCCATTATGCTTAGCCTAACAATTTCTAGTTTGTTTGTCCTTGTAAAAATTTTTCAAAATTCCGGTTATAACGGATGATTTCAGTTTATAGGTTCAGTGGTCTTTGATTAAGTTTACTATGCGTCTTGTTTAATGGACAAATTTGCTATGTATTTTATTTAATTGTGAGATTGGAATGATGATTTGATTCCTAAAAACTTTTAGACCTCAGCAAGGAATCAAAGATTTCATGAAGCCATTCCATTGCCTTCCCGTTTTGTGACTTTCATTCCTGAACGCACCCTCAAATTTGAGGCTGGCTTCAAAGTTTGATTTAAACTCCTTTTTTCAACGTATTTCTTTATCTTGGTTTTTCTTACAGGTGAATGACTATAGCATGGTGAGTTTTATACCACTGGACTTGAGGAAGGAAAGAAGGTTTGCTTCATGTCTCAGACTGCTCTTGATTTAAATAATCTGTTTTTCCCTTATGACTTTGTAGCATACATTCGTGTTGGTTAGTAAATGGCATTGAACATCATGGCTACAAGCATGGGGTCTTTGAATAACAGAAATGATGCTGAATCTTTAAAATTGGGTGTTGAGTAGGGATTGAAGTTGGTCCAAGTGTTTAACAGTTTGATGCAGGTGCAGAATATGCTCTTGTAAAATCCACTCTACTTTGGTCGGTCTCACAAAAGAAATTGGCTTTCAATTGATTAGTGGGTTACTGCATAAAACAGCAGGATTTTTTTATGATTACGTAATACATATACTTTGGGAAGAACTAAAGTCTAACAGCTTGAGAAAATGAAATATACTGTAGCTTCCCTTTGGTGTTTTACCTTGGCATTTCTTAAATGTAATTTCTTGATCTGATACAAAGCACAACCTAAGAAAATATAATTTATTTTATTATCTCCACGAACGGACTAAATGTTTTTGTACATAAATATGAATTGTGATTTATTCTGAAAGCAGAATGCTGGGTTTCCTGGTGTGAAATTGAATTTAAAAGCAGAATGGTTGTCTTAATGATTGCTTGTTTTTTCATTTGCAGCATCCAATATGTGTTAGCCCAAATTGATAATTGTATTCAGTATGGAGAAGATGCAGACGTAAAGGTTAAAGATTTTGATCCCCCAGAGGACGACGACTAGCTTTTTCTCCTATGCAGCATCTCCTGGTAACTTCGAACGCTGTGCCATCACAAATTTATAATGACCAAAGATTCCATCAAGGAGGTAGCATTGTGTCAATAATCAATATATAGGATCACAGCTTGATGTTCTGTGATGAATTCTCTAAACTAGCCAGAGATGGAGACAAAGTTTGTGTTTATAAGAATGAGTGGACCTTTAATGAGAATGAAATGGAAATATTGAGTTCGTCTGGTTGAAACTGTATTCCTTCTTTTGGTTTTTTTTTTTTTTTTTTTTGGGGGGGGGGTGGGAGGTAGTTGATTTAGAGTAATTAGGCAACAGTTTTGAGGGCACCTCTTTAGAAGGCAAGCTTCCCAACGAGAATTTAATTACTATTACATGTCCTTGACTTCGAACTCAAGACCTTTGGTATTCACTCTTATCTGTTGATCCAAATGCAACTTTATTTCTTTTATTACATTAGCATCTCCCAAAATTTTGGAAAACTTCTAATCTAGAAGGCACTTACACACAAGACAATTAATGCATCCTAGAAAGCACTAACACACTTAAAACAATAAACGCATCCATATTGTATAATCCATACTTAATTTCCTGTTGATAGTTCGTTAAGGATAGTTTATTTTATGCATGGGAGAAAATAATTAATTCATACAATTTAAGAAAATTTGTTAAGTATAATAATTATATTTGAAATTGAAAATTTTGAATTAAATTATCCCTGTAATTAATTAAATAAATTTATCTTGTGAAAAATATGTAATAAATGTTTCTTGAAATTTGTAACATGGTAGTTTCTTGAGAATATTTCGTTGTGTCAATTTGATAATTCAATCTAAAATTGACCACCACCTTGAAATACGCTCAGAAAAAAAAAAAATCCTTGATCATTATTATTTCGAGTTCTTAAACTTCTAACCAAATTTGAGATATTCACTAATGCCAGCTTTCATTCTTATGAACTCTAGTTTACTTAAACTGCAATTTAGATTCCAAATCTTTCAGCTGTGATAGAACTACTCCCTCCAGTTCTTCATCGAACAGTCCCTCATAGTCTTGAATATAAGCGACTGTTGATGAATTTATCTTTCACATAAGTTTATAATTATAATCATCTTCGAACATCAGAATATAATGGTTTATAACTGCTTCAGTGACTTCCTGCTATGCCTTGTCGTCAGAGAGATTGAACGCATTTCTGAGCTGTTCGTCTCTACTCTAGCTTTTCAGTCTTAAATATTCTCGTCTTGTCTCCGATATCTCTCAAAAGATTCTCGTAACTCCTCAGTTCTGCTTCGTTCTTTATCAGCTCTAATTTGCAGTTATTAAGCTCTCGATCTTTCTCTTCCAATGTCAACTTGTAGTGGCTCGTTTCTTTCTCTAAAGCTTTTCACTCCATCTCTCTCTCTCTCACTCACACGCGCGCACACAGTTCAGTTCAAGATAATCCAAAAACAACTCAATCATGTGACATTTATAGGCTCGTAATGTAAGGTGACTAGATTTATGTTACCTATTCAATTCTTGATTACGAACGTGATCGTTCTTTTGTTCCCAATACGCTAAATCACGCTTGTTTAGAAGTGAACCGTATTAAGTACACCATCGTTGCAAGCCAATGAACACGTCGATCAAAATGCTTAAATTTCTTTTAAAATGCTGGTTTTCAAGATCCATTCTATGTCGCTCCCTTTGGGTATAGGGCATTTCTTTTATAAGAACTCACCCTGATCTAAAATATAAGGTATTAAATTGATTTATTTGATAGGGAATATGGCCCATAACTCATAAAATTGTGGAATTTGATGTGATGTTGTTAGTAGCTGATTTATAAGTACCTCGACACTTTTTGGATCCAAAGGCATGTTCTGGTCATAGTGAGTTCCTAGATTTAACTCACATAAAATTTTTTATATATAAAAAAAGATGGTGCTTGTAATTTTTTTTTCAATTACATCCCTACTTTATTTATTTATTATTATTATTGAAATATTTCATTGAAATTTCAATTGTCATTATTAAGATACTTTTATGAGATATTTCATGATAGTATATAATTAGAATATGTACTTTTTAAAAAAGTTAAGATTTCAACTAATTGTTTTTAAAATCATAAAGTAATTACCTTTGTCCTATATTGCAAATTGAAAGGAATATTTCCTTGTAAAAGGCAGTTGAAAAAAGGCTTTTGTGATGATTTTTTACAGAGCATCTTCACATTTGATTGTAGAAAAACTTATATATATATATATATATACATACATATATATTCAATTTTATATATTTCAGGTTTTTCCTTCTAATCATATAGGAAGTTTCAAAAATGATGTAATGTTGCCTTACAATAACAATGGATCAATGTTGATAATTATTTTCAATGTTAAAGGGCAATTTGGCCCTCAAAAGTTTGTTTGAAGGAGTAATTGGTATCCGACACTTTTAAATGATATAATATTTTTGAGTTATTAACTTTCAAATCAAAAAAAGGATTTAACATAATTTGTTATAATCCAAAAGTAAGAGAAAACTTTAGTTCGAACTGTATTGAATGCCTCCAAATCAAAATCCAACTTAATCTATGTTGCCCATAGGCATGAAAAGTCTATGTATGAGCCTTTGCAAGTTGAGAAATACTCATGAGCAAAATAAGGACAAGTTCAAACTTTAAAAGAAAATATGTGAAATGCTTGGGATAGAGTTGATTTTGTGTCAAAATACTCTCAAATGAGACTTTTTGTCAAAATTCAAAAATATGAAATATTTTTAACAATGATAATAAGCTGTTAGATTTTTTTTTTTAATTTGAATATTGATAAGCCCAAAAATTGCACTAATAAAAAGTTTTGGGATACTAGTTGCTCTATCAAAAAAAAAAAACCTTTTGGGACAAAATTGCTCCTTAGATCCACTCAAAATTTTCAACTAACAATTAACGTTAGTCAACCACTACTATAGAGCAACATTGCACCAATTTTAAAACCTCTAGAATAACAATGCTCCAATTAAAAGTTAAAAATACTAATTACTCATGGCCAAAAACTTCTAGAGCAAATTTTTCCTTTAATCTTTTATCCTATAACAAATCTTTATTAATATTATTATCAATGAAAATCCACATTTCTTGATTTCATTGGATAAATACATATTAAATATATAAAGTTAAGCATTTAAGTCTTTTATTTTAATTATTTATTACAATTTTTCGCTTTTAAACTATTCAATGTTACTACAAGAAAGTAGGAAACTTTTTGAGGATGTACTTAATATGAATAATGTACTTAACTTTTTAAATTTGTAGATAATGTTAATGAATTTTAATATTTTTCTTAGTTTCAATGAAAAATACTAAAAGTGACCTTTGAATAGGATTGAAGAAAATAAAATTTAATGCAAATGTTCAAATCTACACGGATTATGCAGAAGCGATTGATTTGATAATTAGAAGTGATATTATTTATCATCTTTTTTGAGAAATTATTATTCAGGCTAGGAATTTTTCTTTAGGAATTGGAACATCTGATTGAACTTCATGTTTAGAGAAGCCAATACCTATACCCATTTATTGGCTACATAGACCCTTAACGATTTTGTTTGTTACACTACATTTGATATATCAACCCCAACTTTTTGTGCTAAGATGGTGGATGATAAGAGGAGGTTATTTGCTACTAGTGCTTAGCTTGTAATTGCTTTTATGATTATGGATAAGTTTTCACTAAAAAAAATTCACATAAAATAGAAATAAAAAGTGAAAAGGAATATACTAGTCGCCAAAAAGAAGTCTCTTTTGTTGAAGCATGTACTGCATAAATATGCGAGGAATATACAGAAATTTAAGTTAATAAGTTAGAAAATAACAAAACACACTTTCCAAAAGCCTCTTCGTCTCATTTCCTATTTCTGACAAATAAATATTCAATACTTTCCCTCTGATCGTAATTATAAAATAAATTTAATTAATTTCATGGTTTTTAAAGAGTAGCACTTGATATCTTAAACTTGTAAAAAAAGAAATGTATGATTTTCCAATTTTACTTTATTGAAATTAATCATCATAATAAAGTGTGTCGTGTAGAAATTTAAAGCATGTTAAGAACTTATCGCAATAAAGGATGAATAAGATTGAAAAAAAAGTTTGGCCACTGTCACATCTTTGCCTTATATTTAGGATTAATTGAGGCTTTAAAAATTTGTTCTATAATTAGAAACATAGAGAGAATATATAATTAGAATGAAAGTATGAAAACAAATAAATTTATGAAAAAATATAATTATTGGTCCATATAATTTTAACGTGCTTTGGTATATATTTCTATAGTTATTTTCATTACTTCATGTCTCTTTAGTTTATTTTGTTTGCAACTACAATGTTAATCTCTCTACTTTTTAATATGCCCAAAAAAATAATAAGGTGACACTAAGGATATTAAATATGCTGACAAGTGACTATCGTTATTAATTTTTATGGTGAGATAAAATTATGATTCAATAGATTGCAATCTGAAACACGAAAAAGAATGGGATGGCACCACTGTTAATTTGTTAAATCATAATTCTATCCCAACACAAATGAATGGTGTGAATCATATTTAACATAGTGCCATCTCATCGTTTTTATGGATTTATTTAAAAAATAGTGACTAACGTTACATATAGAACAAACTAGAAGGATTTGAAGCGGTGAAAGAAAAGTATAAAGGCCTATACTTAAAACATGTTAAAATTATAAGCATTAATAAGTAAAGTTGAGAATAATGACCGAACCTGATAGGCCACCTATTTAAGCTCATTTTATAAAAGTGCGAGCTTAAAAATGACATTTTTTAAAGAAATTAAGTTTTGAGACCCAACTCGAATAAGCTTTGAAAAAATGGGCTCAGGCTCAGGTGACTTTTTTAAGCCTATTTTATTTTTACTCCTAAAAATAAAATATTTTTTAATTTTTAAATTGAATTGAAACTTTAAAATATATATTTATATTTTAACATTGTAATTTCTATTATTTATTTTACACTTTTAAAGATTATAACATGTATTTTAAAAAAATTGAAATATTATAATTAAAAATTTTAAATTTTAAAAAAATTAAAATAATAAAAACAAGCTTACGGGCCTTGCTTGAGCCCTTTGAATAAGGGTTAAGCTTTTAAAAAAATTATTAATTTTGATAAAAATTGGGTTTATACATTTGAACCTTTAAGGATTGAGCTCATAAAAGTCAAATCCATATAAGTTAAGCTTGC